GCAACGGCAATGGGAAATCACGTGTTCTTCACATTCACTATCTAATTAAAAAGCGGACTCACAACCCAATACTCATCCACTTAGTAGTGATGTGTAGAGATATCGGCGATTGGCCTTTTACAGCCACCGTATTTATGATAATAGGTACCGACTGATTTACAGATTCCATATGCTTTCAACATTCCGTTTTTTAGCCTTTATTTTGTTTTATCTTGTTCTGCAATGCCGGTCTTAACGGGTGCTCACTAATAGCCCCTGTATGTGCTATTGTACGCGCTTGTCTGTGTAAGTGAGGAGCGGTAACAAAGCGGTTAGCGCGCTGCGCTACGAACTCGATTCCCGCTCATGGCCAACATCAGTGACGATTATTTGAACTGGTCCTGAGCATTCCCTAGGTCGACTCAGCCTCAAATAACTAATTTGTGCAGTGTGTAAACATCGCCACTAGGGAGACAAAGGCGGCCGGGCGTGGTGCTGGCTACCCACCCCCTCGTGTGCCGTTCTGACCTTCATAGGTGCTCACTAACAGCACTTGCCCCAACAGTCTGTTACAGGCTATAGGGGGATCTTTATCTTTGTACTCCGAGTGTGCATAGGTACCATATGCCAGGGGCGCGATCTGTAGAGGTCAGCAGCCGAAGCAATGTCTCCTCACTTTAATCACAAGAAATACCTGGGTGATCAATTGATTAATCAGCCAAGCGATCGATTGCTTAATCACGGCTAATTGAAAGCTCAATGCAATTTTAAACACAATTATACGGGGATGCTCACACACGTGGAGTTGGGGTTATTTTGTTGTTGCTGCTGCTGTTGTTGTTGTGAGACGTTAACAGCTTCTTACCGGGGTGCGTCCAGGGAGCCCGAAGCGAGAGCTGGGTGACACGAGGCCGCACGGACACGCGCGGTGTGAATTGTCATCAATTCTAGATTTGAAGCTTTCGTGACTGCAAGGATTCATATTCTTAGGTGTTTTCGGTAAAGTCACGTAGGTAAAACGTTAAAATTAATAAAAGTAAAATAAAATAAAAAATCACGACGTTTCGGGGACTTGTGTTGCCTCCGCAACGTCGTGGTTTTAATTTTATTTTACTTTTATTAATTTTAATGTTTTACCTACGTGACTTTACCGAAAACACCTAAGAATATGAATTGTCATCGTCTGGCGGTGGGGGGCAGATCTCACCGCCAGCATGGTGGCAGTACGCGCACAGCCAACCCAGTAGCACCCCCCCCCCCCACGGAAAACACTGCAGAGACATAATAAAATGCAGCCCGCCCCCCCAGAGTGAACATTAAGGAGCTTTATGACACCGGCTGTAACTGTTCCAGCACGGGGTGGTGCTGGGGTTAGAGCAATCACAAGGTTGCGAGTTCAAATTATGGTCGGAGGTCAACTGAGAGGCCCATTATCTGTGGGTAGTCAAGTGTAGCGAGCGAGCTATTTGTATTCATTTTGTATGAGTAAGTTTTTTTTGTTTATTTATTTATGTCCTACGGCTGGACTTGAAACCTCTCTTGCAGTCCCGTGGGGCGGTCTGTTATTCTGGCAGTACGACAGCAGCCTCGTGCACGATCACTTCATTTACCTGACCTTTTACGGTATTTTTGTTTTTTTTTATTAGGTCATGGAAACAATGCGCCAAGGCGGAAATAAATGCATTCATTTTACTCTCCCTCGGGAGCCCTGCGCTTACCGGAACGCTGTATTTTTTTTCAGGCCGTTGTCACGTAAGCAATTTGGTTATCTCAGCTGCAGTTCCCACGGGATATCGTAGCACTGGCGCGGCACAAAGTTGCTCTATTGGCAGGCGAGAGCAGCCGATGATGACTGAACAGGCAAACAAGCTGTGCAAAGTCCACTCGTTAGTGAGCCTCATACGTTTGGTCATGGAGTCAACGTAATTGGGTTATCTCAGGTCTAATTTGGCACAAATGCGGTGCTCAGTTGCCGCATTGTCAGATACTGTCATGGGAGCAAATTACTGAATAGGCATAACAAGCTGGGCAAGTCTGTCCAGTAAGTGAGCCTCATACTATTGGTTATAGGGTCATGAAAAAAAATGTTACCCAACAATAATGATATATTATGATTTGAAGCTTTCGTGACTGCAGGAATCCATACTCTTTGGTTTTTTCGGTCAAGTGCTTTCCCACCTGGTGATGTGTCGTGCTCGAAACGTGATTTATTTTATTCTATACCTACGTGACTTTACCGACAAAAACAAAGAATAATGATATATTAATTTAGTTCAAACAAAGTAGATTTTATAAATTCATATTGAAATAATTTGTTTTGTATTTATTCTGAAATTTTTCATTGCGTCTCCAGAATCAGCATGCCACTCTCCTGAGATGTTAGGGCATCTAGTGTGTGTGTGTGAGGAAACGGGCATCCCCAGAGAAAAGAAACTTGTGGGCACATGCACCGGTTGCACAGACAGATTGGTAACCTCTTCCCGTGCTGCCTCCAGAAAGGAACATTGTCACGCATGTGGCTGTGTCACACACGCGAGTGTGAGGTCCACAAACCCCTGTTTTCCAGCTCACTATATTACGAGCACATGCAAGTACTGTGCACCTATCCACAGATAATAGACCGAGACGATGTCACCGAATACCTTGTAAAGTAATGCCACACATTCAGAAGTTAAATCTATGGAAGCAAACGTTTTCAGAATTGAAATGGGTCGCCTACCGCTACATTCCCTTCATTAAAATGTTCACTGGTTTATGCGTGATAATTGGTTTTTTACCCTTTAATCTGGCAACAAAACTGATACCTTTTTTACGAGGAGTCATGTTTGCATAGACCACAATACCTGCAGTCATAATGCAAACAAAAAACATAACTCTGATAATGTTTGCACTGTCCTTGAAGTTGATTGGTCCACACCCGAGACAGCTTTCCTTAGAGCCTAGTCTCACATGGTGTTGGACCAGATGACGCCAAAATGCGCACAACTCAAAGACAATGCACCATCAGCAGAGTATGAGAGCTCGGGGTAAGCATTTACACCATTGGTACCTCATTTGCCAGTCTATGCAAACATGACTCCTCGTAAAAAAGGTGTCAGTTTTGTTGCCAGATTAAAGGGTAAAAAACCAATTATCATATTTTTTTTTACTGGCAAATGAGGTACCAATGGTTTATGCGTTTTAATCGGTGGCGTGTTGATCTCTGGGGCCGTGAGGTGGCCACAAAACGGCAGTGCGGCAGCAATTGGGTTTTTTTAACTCATCGGTGTGGATCTTGTGAATGCAACGTCCTCTGCTTATTCCGGTTTCATCTTGCAAACCGCTCTGGGAAACTCGTTGACTAAACTTCCCAATGCAGGACCCGACTGGATATGGATTATTTTGTTGGCTCAATTTACCATTTGTTGGACAGAGACAATAGCTTCTCTTTGCATACAACCACAAAACGTCCCCCCCCCCCAAAACAATCTAATTACTTACTCTAGATGCCCGTCTGTCGTGTATCACAAATTGTAATATCTTAATTGGATTAGATTTCATTTGGGAAAAAAGTGTTATCTTGTAAACAGGAGGAAATGAGTGTTTGTCAGACGCACACATAAACACTTACCAACGTCAAAATAAAATGTGTGTCTTGCATGGCAAGAGTCGCACGTGTTCATATAAAAAAAATGGCTCGATCTGAAATGTGAAAATGGTTCCACGTATGAAATGTAAATATTTTGTCCACAGGGTTCCCCGAGGCAAAAGCGTGTCCATTGCACAAACGTCCATTAAATGTGAGCTTCGTTCTGTTCATACATTGTCAGGAACCAGTGGGCAGTGTTACTGGGTAGTTGGTGAAAGCAGTTAATACTGGTAGGAACCTCCTGGTTACACCAGCCCACAGGGGATTATTGTGTCCGTCCGTCGTGCAGGGAGGGGCTAGGTGGGGAGGGAGGGGCTGGGTGGGGAGGGTAGGGTGGGGAGGGGCTGGGTGGGGAGGGTGGGGCTGGGTGGGGAGGGGAGGGGCTGGGTGGGGAGGGTGGGGAGGGGCTGGGTGGGGAGGGGCTGGTCACCCCGTGGTGCCCTTATAAAACTCAATGTTTAACCTACTCACGCCGGCTTGTGCCCACCCTCACAGTCGGGCATATTTGGTGAATACACCACGCCGCCATTGACCCTGGCCATTGACTGAGCAACCCAACGTTCCTACCAGCTCCCTCCGCAGGAATGTGTTCACTTTCTCTCTTTCTAATGGAAATCTCTCTAAATCACAACAGTCAATATTCGTGCAATTATATGTCTGGATATCATTGTGATTCAAGTGCTTGACCCACAATCAAAAGGTTTCGATGGTAAATTTCGTTTGTGGGCTCGACAGTGATTAAGTTAATATCTTTTTCAGAAGTCCACAGTTGTCATGATACAGAGGCACTGATCCCACCTTGGGAGTGTGGAATTTACAGCACTGACTCAAAGCTGCCAATAGAGATGAAACGCTGTCCGATGGCTCGTGAAAACAGGCAGATACTTTTTTCACTTCTTTCAGTCCTGACGTTTTCATGAGAATTTTTTTTTCCGGTGAGACAAACCGTGGGCTCTGCCACATAACAGTTGACACCACCTGGCTGCAAGATGTCTGCACATGTTCAAATATCAGAATTTTTTTTTATATACTTACACCACCGAGCACTTTGTGATGCGCCCTCGTGAAAACATTACGTATGCGTAAATAGTGCTGACGTCTCGACAACGAATAGACTGCACGTATCCGATGTGAATTTAGCACGTAGGCTTTCACAATTCTGGCAAATCGCTGATGAAGCTGGTTGTAATCACCAGCGAAACATCATACTCAATTGTAAATAGTCTAGGTTAACTCTCCGTCACACCGACGTGCTAAAGTAATAGCTCGTTAGCACGCCTTGTTCACGTAACAAACTTCATTAATCGTTTGTGTCGGGTGGTGGTGGTGGATGAACACCACTTTTATATTTACGCGATCTAACCCTATGAATCATTTGTGACGTTGTGCACAGGATGCAAAATACGTGCTGGTGATGGTTGATCCCGATGCTCCCAGCCGTACCAATCCAATCTGGAAGTACTGGCGACACTGGCTCGTGTCCAACATCAAGGTAAGTCCTTGGAGAGTCACTTACATTTCTGTCTGTGTTTGAACAGTCATCTGGCTGCAGTGAGTCTTGGCTTCTTTGCCACACATGCCTTTCCAATCACAGGTGACTTTCAGTATGTTTGGTGAGAAATGTTGATGTGTACCCAGGCCTTCGGTGAACGACAGGTTCTACGCAGTGAGAGTCTTGTGGGTACAAAGTGTTGGTTGTGATAATGATGTACGGCTTCTGTGTGAAGCTACATTGACCGTTATGTACAGAAGGTGGTTTGATGGCATGTCTCCATGGTGTAATCTTATAAACTACTTTGTAACGTAAGTGCATATTACACCATGCATGTATTGACTTTTCCAAGCGGATGAGGTGGCGGTAGGTCGTAATGTATGTTAATGTGTGTGTGTGTTTATATGCAAGTATATGCCCTGTGTATGTGCAAAATTGTTTTAATTAAAGTCTTCTCACGTGACATTTCAATGCACATGGCAGAAAAGGTCACTTCATGATAGTTAACTTTGCAGCATATTTGACGTGGCATTATAATATTAATAACGTGATCGTGAAAAGTTAATAATAAGGATGTTTTGACACGGCAATGCCTCTGCCAGCTTGTATAATGTGCTATAATTATGCTTGTAGGCGTCAAATACAGTACCACACATCAAATGCAATTCAAGCACTCTGCAGTTTGTGGACATTTTACTTCGGATATACTCAAGACAGACTGAAGGACTTGGAGATTCCAACTGCAAGACAACTTTTTTTCTTTTAAATTTCTCTTGAGCATGTCCTCTAATTTCGATATTTTTACATGTCTTGATTTTAGGGGTGAAGTACTACCTTTGTTTAATTTATACTCTAAAGTATTGCGATGCACTCATTAGTGGGGGCCAGTTCTTATTCAACAAATACGTTGAATGGATGAGTATGTGGAAAGATATTAAATTTTCTCCCGCCATAGCAATGTGGAATTTCCACCACTCGCTCAGAACCACAGAATGAGATGAGCACCTGCCTATGCCCATTTGAGGAGAGAACCACTGCGACTCTAAAACGACTGTTCAACACATCGTGGGCTCTCTCGACCAATATTATCCATAATAGAGGTTTTTGGGGTTAAATCGCGTAAATATAAATTTGTCGTTAAAACCGCCACCAGCCGACACAACCAATTAGTAAGGTTATTGCCACGTTCTGTTTACGTGACAACCCTTACTAATTAGCTATGTCGGGTGGTGGCGGGTTTCACGACACATTTATATTTACGCGATCTAACCCAAAAACCTCTAAAATCACTGTGTGGAAATTAATTAAAATAGATGTGCTGGCTAGTGTGGGACGAGGGCCGACCCAAGCCGCGTGGATCGTGGGGGATTATTTGTCCAGATGTCGCCACGCTGGTCACTGTGGTCTGGCGTAGTCACGGGGTCATAGAAGTACATCGCAATAATGACACCCTTATATCCACATATGCCCATCGTGACTACAGGTTTTGATAAAGGTTTGTGCGAGGTACTCGCATATTCATTGTCATTCTCATGTGTAAGCACAAGTACAAGCATTACTTTTTTTGGGTTATAATTGTGCAGCCCAACTTTAAATGTTTAACTAAAGTCTGCTGTTGCTCGTATGCTCGGCAGATTTTGATGATCAATAGCTTAATTGAAAGAGCTCTGTATGTTTAAAAGTGCAAGGTTCTTCTGTGTGAGGTTACACTTCTTGATTGCTCATGATGCTTAAAAATAAGTTGGCACATTTGGAGAACACTCAAGTGAGATTCGCACAAAACTGTTCACAGCGAGTAATTGTGCGAGATCCTAGCTGTAGTTTTATATGTATTTTTTAATGCAGCAGCGACATGTCTAATCCATTGCTTAATTGTCGTGACAACATTTCAGCACATGCACACTCTCTGACAGATGATCACACAGATACGCGGAAAGCTACACGCATAGCAGCTGTGCCAGATGCCTGATGTCCATAACATCACCGCCACATGAAAAGCAAACGTACATTTTTATTCAGAACGATGCCAAGTTGCCGTGATTGGACCTGCAAAACAAAATGCATCTCCATACAAAGCACGATGAAGGTTCAACGTTTGATGTCTTCTGCTGTGACAAAAGATTGAACTTGGCCACCGAATCTAAATGCTACAGCCATCGGTATTCGCCAAAACAGTTAGCCATTATATATAACGTGCAATTTAGCCAATGCCACTTTTCTTAGAGCCTACATCATTGCCAAAGTTTACATCCCTTAGCTTTCCAAAACAGATTGTCCACCTCAAGGTCATGAGGCCTTGGTCATGCTCTCGGCTAATGGCGATGCTGATTAATCATTTGTACACAGCACAACTTTCCACATTTAAAAGGTTATTGGGCACCCGCCTCTAACTATTTGTTAAACAGACAGTATCCCCATTAAGCTCAATTGGCACAATGACACCATATATCTATTTTCACTGGCTGTCATATTGTTTCGTCTATTGTTTTCAAAGCACGGTCGAAATGCAGAGCATGTAAATGTTGTTCCACTATTCAGCGAAGCGTTATCTTAATTAACATGCAGCAATCGGGTAGGGCAATTGCATGATGATGCTGAACATTTTAATGGATATTGATTAATAAACAAACACACATTAGTTATTATATTATATCATTTTACTGGGGGGAGGGGGTGCTCTGGGTAAAGCACTCCACTCTTGATCGCATATGAAAGGGTTGTTATTTATGATTTCCTCATATTCTTTTTTCCAAAAAAGTAACATCAGGCCTCAATACAAAACTCGAATGAAGCGAATTGTATGTGTTTTAAGGTTAATTTGAACACGTGAAGTGGCATCACCAAATATGGTATAACTTCCACTCTTGGCCCACCATAAAAATGTTGTCACATGGCATCGGGGGCTGTCACTACTCTTTGAACCCGATGTAAACCATCCGAGATTCTGAAAAAGATCTGAAATTGTTCTTCAAAATTATAATTCCCAAATGTTTGAAGGCAAAATGTATCCACAGCTGCGATTGCTAGCCGTGCCGTGGTGGCAATGCAACGGGGCAATACTGTGGCTCACCAGCAGAAAGGAGTACAGCAAGTGGGCTAATCGCCATCTGTTGCCATCATGTTGATTCCATCTGTACAAGGAAAGTGTTGCCTCCATTGCACACACACGGGCTTTCACCGGGTGCTCTGGTTTCCTCCGGCTGATAAAAAAAATAAGCGCAATTAGGCAGAACCCTCCTGAAAAAAGTGATACGTCCCAGTGTGGCTCTCCTGGGTAGATGAATAAGTAAATATACTTTCAAATTTCTGCTGTGGGTCGACTCAGTCTATCATTCTTCCCGGATCAGTACATTGACTACCACTTCATGAGAAGTCACTGGTAGTAGTTTTATATGGGGACTAGCTGTACTACCTGGCTTCGCCCGGGACTTGGATCTACCACACCCGGCCGCCTTTGTCTCCCCAATGGCGATGTTCACACACCACAGCGGTTACTCGTTTGAGGCTGAGTCGACCTAGTGGAGGCCCAGGACTGGTTGAAATAATCGTCACCAGTGTTGGCCGTGAGCGGGAATCGAACTCGGGTCGCCAGGTTCGTAGCGCAGCGCGCTAACCACGACACTACAATGCGTTACGCTTCCACGTGCGCGGGTCACGTGACAGATTTGACGTCACAACTCACTTGCCGTGCAAAAAATATATGCATAATTGAGCTCCCCCCTCCCCCCAAAAACACAAAAGTGTATTTTCATAATGTTTGCATGGTGTACAGTCTGGAAAGTACCCACATGGCAAATTTAAAGTTTGTTGCATATCGGGAAGTACGCTAAACATTTTAAACAGACACACGTAATCACAACTTTTCCTTTTATATATATGGAGATGAGCTACCATAGGAATTTTGGAATTATCTCCAATGGCTAAAGGCCATCAATCTGAATGAGCATTTGTTCGTGTTCGTTTGGGCATAGAAGTACTTTGACTTAATAGTGTATATATTCTAAACATAAACATTTTGCACTGGCTTGAGAAACAATGTGAACTCCCCAAAAACAAGTTACGTTTCATCAAGGGAGGATTTTTATTTTGCCACAGGGTCTCGTAAAGTCTGTGAGATGAAAACGATCTTTTTAGATTTCATGAAAAAAGGGCATTGCCCAATACGTCACCTATTTCATATATGTATTTATTTCCATTTTAAGGTAGTGTGTTGGACAAAACAACAACACTAATTCGGATCATACAAAATTTAGCCATCTAAGGCCTGCTTTTCTGATTTTTCTGATTAATCTATCAACTGGAAGCATGAACCCATTATTTTGGTGTTTTGTTGAAACCACACATAGTCTTGTGAGTAGAGAGATTGTCAGAAATCCCACCATGAAAATCTAAATACAAACTTCCTTTCCATCATTTGATTTTGATCCATGGGAAGGCTTTCTTGAAACTCTTTAACGTATGTAACCTCACTATTAAGCCCAGCAGAAAAAAGAAAAAAAACCTTGCCAAAGAATTCCTTTTATCAAGCAGAGTGTTTCAAAAGGCCAAGCGATACGTAATTTGGTTAGAGGATGAATTATTGATTTTGCCGTTGAAAGTCTGTCATTGAAAAAGTCATCATTTATAGCGTGTGACTTTACTTTTTGATGCCTGAAAGAGTTTTAACTCATTCTCCGCTCTAAGGCAGACCACGTACCTTTTGATAATGATTTGGAAGATAAGCCACTGACTCTGCATCGCGGATAACCTGCTTGAGAGCTCACAGTCTTCGCTGTAGTTATTTTTTTGTGAAATCTAGTATGAAGGCTTAAACACTTGGTCGTGTGTCTACTGAATGGCCCTGGCTTCATTTGTTTGTTTTTGGTGAGGGACAGTTAGGTGGCCAAGCGTTCATGCTTTCACCGTTGGTTGCAGAGATTCGCGGTTCAAATCCAGCGGCTGCTCTGGTTATCGCTGAGGGTGAATTAACTGTAAAAATACTCCATGCCGTCTGCTTCACA